ACATCAGTGATGGCCTTCTTGGCCTTCTCCTCTGCATTTCTGGCCTCCTGGACTGCATCATCCACCTCACCTTGAACCTGGACCAGATCAGTCTCAAGCTTCTTCTTGGTGTTAATAAGACTCGTATTCTGCAGGATTTAAGCAGGTAGTTTAATGTATATTTATCTAATACTTTATCATTTAATCTGAATTTGCTCTTAGTATTTAAAATTTTTTGTACTTGTGAGTGCAGCAGTCCCACACGCTCGCTGGCATCAACCAGCCACATCTTTCTTACCTTATCAAAGTTTCTCTGCTTCTTGTCAAGGTTGGCAGCCAATGCATTTGCCCTCTCCCCATCAATCATGAGGTCCTCTACTTCACCCTGCAGTCTCTGTTTGGTCTTTTCCAGTGAGGCACACTTGGAGTTCACTGCCTCAATGGATTCTTCAGCATCCTGCAGACGCTGTGCCAGCTTTTTCCTAAAGAAATTGGTATTAAATGATGACATCTTACTAATATTTGTGATATTAAATGTAGGGTACTGAAGACTTTTTTCTTTGCTGTATTTACTTGGCTTCCTCAAGCTCTTCAGTGCGTTGGATGGCATCAGTCTCATATTTGGCTCTCCACTGGGCCACTTCACTGTTGGCCTTAGACATTTCACGCTGGAGTTCAGCTTTGGCCTCCTGCTCCTCCTCATACTGCTCTCTGAGCAAATCACAGTCATGGCGGGCAGACTGAACTGCATGGGCCAGAGCATTCTTGGCCTATAAAGCAGCACATCTTGGGATTTTAAACACTCTACCATCTATACAATGGTTTGGATTAAAAACAAACAAACATTAAAAATCATTTAATTATCAAAACAAAATAATATGTGCAACTCTACCTTGACTTCTTCCTCGACATGTCTTTTGAGATACTCAATTTGCTGAGTAACAGCCTGTCTTCCTCTAGTTAACTGTGAAACAAGTGCTTCTTTCTCTTCCAGTTGACGGCTAAATTCACCTTAAAAACAGGTTACAGATATTAGCATGAAACATAATAAAGGAATCTTTTAACTCAATTTAGTTTTGAGTTTGTTTTCTACATGTGTAGCTTACTCTCTTACCATTTTCAGTCTGAAGTCTTGCTCGTTGTGCATTCATATCGTTCAACTGGCGACTATTTTCATCACTTTTGGCCTTGATTTCACTCAGCTGGTCTTCAAGAGTGCGGCACATCTTCTCTAAATTACCCTAAAGAGATTAGAGATTATATGAATATGTTTGTAAAGATGATTTTGTACTTATTAGTGATCATCTAATGACATTACCTTTGCTTTAGCCACAGCCTCCATGTTGCTTGACAAGTCATCAATCTCCATCTTGTATTCACTCTTCTCCTTCTCCAGCTTCTGCTTGACCCGCTGGAGGTTGTCGATCTGTTCTCCGAGTTCAGCCACACTGTCTGCCTGCTTCTTTCGGAGAGCTGCAGCTGTAGCTTTAAAGTTCAAAATCTGATGGCCACTCACTTTTTGATCTTCTCATCTGATTGCTGTTTCTCATTCTCCAGGTCCATTATGGACTCCAGAGCCAGTTTCAGATCACCCTCAAGCTTCCTCTTGACTCTCTCAAGGTCCATACGGAGCTTCTTCTCTTGCTCCAATGAGCCCTCAAGCTATTGTTACAGAAACTGGAGCATTACAATCTGGTATAGAGCAATACATTTGATTTCTTATTGATTCATGGTCTCATTCTTAAGCCAAACATCTTACATCGTCCACTTGCTGCTCAAGCTTTGTCTTGGATTTAGTCAGAGTGTTGACTTTGTCTTCCTCTGCCTGAAGGTCATCAAGAGTCTGCTGGTGTGCCTCTTGGAGGGCTTTCTTCTCTTTGGTCAGCTTAGCAATGCTCTCATCCTGAGAGGCCATCTCCTCTGTCAGGTTTTTCACCTAAATGGAAACATTGATTACTGGTTTCATTATCAAGAGCCTGAATCACAATCTGCATATAAAAAATACTGACTTTATTCTCTGTTGCATGTTTCTCCTTCTCCACTTTTGCCAAGGTGAGCTCCAGGTCATCAATGTCTTTTTTCAGCTCAGAGCATTCGTCCTCCAGTTTCCTCTTCTTGGCAGTCAGTTCAGCATTGATTTCCTCCTCATCCTCCAGTCTCTCGTTTGTCTCTTTGAGTTTGCCCTCGAGCTGGATCTTGCTTTTGATGAGCCCTTCACATCTCTCCTCAGCATCACAGAGGTTTTCAGATTCCTGTTCATTGACATGGATATAGTTAATGACTTATGTTTATAGCTGTAGGATCCATATTGGGATAAATAAGAGCTGAAATACTCACAGAAGTTACTTGCAGTAGAAGATCGTTTTTCTCCTGAACAAGTGCCACCATTTTATCCTCAAGCTCCTTCTTTTTAGCTAATGCCTTTGTTAAATCTTCTTTCATTTTCTCAAAGTTCTCCTTCATTGATGCCATTTCTTTTTCAGTCTCTGCACTCTTCAGAAGAGGCTTGATCTTGAAGTACACCTTCATCCATGGCCAATGTTTCACATTCATGAATGAGCGGATGTTGTATTGGATGGAATAAATTGACTCCCTGTGTAAATTGTAATCAGTAAATCAGTCTTTATCACTCTGTGGTACTATACAGTTGTGTTCCAAACATTATTGTAATTTGTACCTCCTCTCCATCATTTTGACAAACTCCTTCCTCATGACATATCCTCGGCACAAAGCCTGAGTCATGGTAACCAGATGTGCTAGTTTTTCATCTCTCATCTCCTCAAGAGCACCCAACAGACCAGCTTTGAAGAACACCTACAAGAACATTTGGAATATATTAGTGGTGTATTGTTGAAGAAGCCAATAAGACATTTTCAGTGTAGATGTGGCCTGGGATACACTATATGGCCCTAATAATAATTGAGTTTGGCTGTTCCAGTAAAAATCTACTATGTTCTATACTATAGTATAGAATGGCATTTGAGAGAATTCCGTCCTAATTTGTACCTCCTCTCCATCATTTTGACAAACTCCTTCCTCATGACATATCCTCGGCACAAAGCCTGAGTCATGGTAACCAGATTTGCTAGTTTCTCATCTCTCATCTCCTCAAGAGCACCCAACAGACCAGCTTTGAAGAACACCTACATTTGGAATACATTAGTGGTGTAGTGTTGAAGAAGCCAATAAGTCCTTTTCAGCATTGATGTGGCCTGGGATACACTATATGGCCCTGATAATAATTGAGATTGGCTGTTCCAGTAATTCCAGTGGGAAAAAATCTATTATGTTCTATACTATAGTATTGAATGTCATTTGAGAGAATTATGTCCTTTCTTTTTTGATGTAACAGTTTGAGGAGGCATGACAGTGTCCAGCACACAAAGTGGGGTCCATATAGGAATGTTTTGTATAATCTGGTGTGGAATAACTTGACTGGCACAAAGCCTAGACTTGAACGCCTATTCAAAAGCTTCAGGCCTTCCTTCCTCAGACTGTTGCAGGACAATTGGAAGGACTGAATTCTCTACAATGTCATTGTGTTGTAGCAGAGTCAAAAATGAGAAGGAAAGAGTTGAAATAGTTTTGTCCACATGGTGTATTTGCTGATTAGCTCACCTTGGTGTGTCCAAATTTGTATTGGGTGTGGTCAACATCAATAGAGCCCAAGAGTTTCTCTGAAGCCTTTTTGTTGTCAATGAACTGTCCCTCAGGGATGACGCTAGCATTTAATACTTTGTATCTAGAGGACATTTAGGGGAGAGTAGTATTCTTGTGAAATATGTAAGGAAGTGAAGATTAGGTGATACATCATCTCTAAGTAAGAAGTTACAAAAAAAATGTCTTTACTCTGCTTGAAGTCACCGTAGTGGATTCTGCTGGGGAAACCCTTCCTGCAGATTCTGATACCCTCCAGCACACCATTACACCTGAGCTGGTGGATAACCAGGAAGTTCTCCATCAGACCTGAAATGCAAATGTTCTTAAGGTTCCAGACATTATTTTTCAAAACTGTGATGCATTTGAGTCATCAAGGATCAAGATTACCTGGAGTCTTGGATTCATTAGGAATCAAGCAGCGCACAAAGTGAGGGTGAGTGCTCCTCAGGTTGGACATCAGCTTACCCAAGTTCTCCTGTGGAAATGTTTGTAATTAATCTAATCTGTAATGGTGAAAAAATTCACAAACTTCAATAAGAGAGAGAATTTGTTTACCCTAAAAACTGCAGACACCGTCTGGAAGGAACCACCCTTCTTCTTGCCTCCTTTCTTTCCACCTCCCTCTGTTTTATAT